GCCCAGAATGGACTTCTGGAAGCGGCATCCACCCAGAGAACCGGTTGTTCACGTATTTAAATCCCACCAATGGGAAAAACATATCATTTCAATCACTTTTATCAAATTTTCACGGCTAACTCCTCCTCCAGCCGCTTAAAGCCCCCATAATAAGGAAATTTAATAAAATCCAGCCACTTGAAAATATTCTGGCAGCTTGTTAAGAGTAATTTAGTCTTCCAATGTCACTTAATACCTGACCATTATAGCTTTAAAAAAAAAAAAAAAAGCTATAAAATATATTGCCAGGCTTATTAGAAGGCATAAATATTCAATTTCTCAGAGTTTTTTGTTACTTTTTCTCTGCTTTCTGCTATTCCGCTCTATCTTCCTCCTTTTCCCTCCAATTTGAAATCTTTACGCCCTTCCCTTTCAAAATATATATTCTCTGAATCTATGTAGAGAGAGAAAAGTCCAGTTCCTTGGGGGGGGGGAAGAAATGGCTTTTTTGGAACCCCATCAGCTGATTACAATCAGCTGCCTGTTCGGAAAACCCAGTTTGTGAAGTTTGAGAGTCTGCTGTAAAGGGATCCTGTCTATACATCCATTTGGCTCTGGAGGAACGCCAGTGCTAAAGCCTGAAATTCGGCCTGCATCATTACGTACAACCGGCAAACTTCGTGGTCTTTGGGGGGCCCTATTGGAAAGCAGACATAAACTTGACCTCCCCTCGGTATAGTAATTGTTAGATTGGATTTCCTTACGTAGCAGTTCTTCGGGTTGGTTCCACCACACAGAACACCCTTTTTTCTGAAAGACGTTTGGGGCATTAACCAGGGCTGTATGTAAAAATGTTCAGTTCTGAGATAAATCATTGTGTTTTAGAAACAATGGCCAGAAAGAGGACAACTTAATTCTCTTTTGTTTTTTGCCTGGGACTAAACTGGCAGCTGAGTGGGTAATTTAGGAAATAGGAATAGCGCACAGAATTGCGTTTTTCTCTTTCAATTTAGCTAGTTTCTGGATAAAAATATGTCTCAGCTTTGTGACATTTGCTGAATAGAACCACTAGGCCAGGGGTAGGCAACCTTGGCTCTTTTATGACTCGTGGACTTCAACTCCCAGAATTCCTGAGCCAGCCATGCTGAGGGGAAAGGGAGAGTTTCCAAGCTGAGCCATGCTGGCTCAGGAATTCTGGGAGTTGAAGTCCACGAGTCATAAAAGAGCCATGATTGCCTACCCCTGCATTAGGCATTGTCTAGGACAGTGTTTCTCAAGCTTAACGACTTTAAGATGTGTGGACTTCATTTCCCAGAATTCCCCAGCCATGGGGGCAGAGAAGGACTTCTGGGAGTTGAAATCCACACATCTTCAAGTTGCCGAGGTTCAGAAATACTGTTGTAGAAGTTCGGCTGGCCTACTTGGTGCTGTCTATTGGAAGATCGTGAAAACTGTCCTCGGCTGAGACGGATGGGGGAGTGTTTTGAAAAATGATTTTTAGTAGGTCATTCTTTACACTACATTATCTCTTGCATTTCTATGTTTTGATTTGATTTAGGAAATTGGACAGTATCCAAAATGTGAAAATGGCAGCAGCAATTGTGGGGTGCGGTTGCAGATTCCCTCTTCACTTTTTTTGACTCGCTATGTGGCCTCCCTGCTGCACAGATGCACTTAATAATACAGAAACATAAATGCAACTTGTACCTGCCTCTAGTATCATTTCTTAAGATGCTTTGAGGGAAAACTCTATGGAATCAATACTAGATTTCATTTCTCGGCTACTTTTAACAGACCAAACAATTAATTTACCTCCTGTTCTTTGCTTGAGTGAGATCAAATGTTTGGGGTTGAATTCTGATTCCCTTCGATTAAAGCAGAGGTCCCCAACCTTTTGGACACCAGGGACCAGTTCCGTGGAGAGAGGTTTTTCCGCAGACTGGAGGGTGTGTGGTTTTGTGTGCTGCCCGCATCCCGCAGATGGGGCTTTGCTTGTTTGTGCGGCCTGGTTGATGGCATGCCACGGCCCGGTACCGGTCCACGGATCGGGGTGTTGGGGACCCCTGGATTAAAGGATGGAAGGATGTATGGAGGGAGGGATGGAGGGATAAATGGATGGATGTTCCAACAAATTTATTTCTACAACTACAAGTAAGAAATTTTCTGATTGTAAGAGCAATTAATCAGAGGAATAGCTTGCCTCCTGGGGTTGTATGTGCTCCTTCACTGGAACTTTTCAAAAATAGACTGAGCAATCATTTGACTGTGATGGCATAAGACTCCTGCCTTGAGCAGGGGGTTGAACTAGAAGATCTCTGAGATCCCTTCCAGCTCCATAATTCTATGAGGTGGTGGTCAAGGAGATAAACTAGGTCTTGGATCAAGTCCATCTTTAGCCGTAGAATCTCCCTGTTTAATTTTGAACTACTCATAATTTCTTAGGGTTATCTACCTCAACCAGCTGGTTGTTATTAGGGATAAAGTAAAAAGAGATCCTCAGGAAAACCTCACTTTGCTTTTTTGAGTAGAAGCAGAGTAGGAGATAAATAAAATAAGAAGGAAGATTGCTTTGGCTTGGTTAATGTAAGAACTAAGTTGACTCAAATTTAAAATGAAGCACAGAATATTTCCAACGCAGAACATCTCCTGATAGGCTAGTGTGGATCTGGCTTCAATTTGTCTCCTGGGTCTTGAATTTTAAAGTGCACTTGAAGTAAATGGACTTTTGAAAAGATGACCTCTTCAAAGGGAGTATATCTGTCCTAAAACTTGAAGATTGTCTTCTCTGAAATAGGATCCCTGTCTCATCCAGGTGTTCCTACAGGACACTTCCATAAAACACCAATAGGATTCTACAATGCACTGTATTCAACAGTGTTGACCTTTCTGATGATCAATCCATGTTCTGCTAAACTCACTGAACCCACCCAACAAGGCTTACTGCCTTTCAAAATCCTATAATGGAAGTGGAGACCAAATTATATGTTAATATCTGAACTGCCCCCCCAGGAAAAAGAGTGTTTGGAGTGACACCTAGTGGTGGTTGTACAAAGACAGCCGCATCACACAGAGGTTGGAGACCTTGACAACTACCGCCTGCATTAATTAAGCTTGGAGAAGGAACCCCGCTCTTCCAATCCCAGGAAAGATCCATCGCTTGTTCATTTTTAAGGATCCTAAATCCAAATTCGGTGGCAAAATGACAAGGTGCATTTATTTATTGTTTTTGGTTTTTTTATTGGCACTTTGTTGGTCATCATTTAAGGCAGAGATGACCAATCTTGGCGACTTTGAGACTTATGGACTTCAACTCCCAGAATTCCCCAGCCAGCATGGCTGGCTGGGGAATTCTGGGAGTTGAAGTCCACAGGTCTTAAAGTAGACGAGGTTGGACACCTCTGATTTAAGGAAAAGGCAACAGGGCCATTGTTAACATCCTAAAATAATAAAAACAACAACACTGAACACTACTTATATAAATTGCAAATAAACGACAGAATTACACCAGGATTACGAAAAAGAAGGCTGGGTTCAGTTGCTGATGATTTGTAGCTGCTATGTTGATTTTTGTTGCCTCACCACCTGCCCGCAGATGCCTTGATATTAGGCTACTAAACCAGTTTTTTTTTAACCTTGGAGATTTAAGATGGGTGGACTTCAAATCCCAGAATTCCCCAGACAGCATGAATTCTCAGAATTCCCCAGAAACTTTCTATCAATTCTGGAAAAGGAAGTCCACCCATCTCAAAGTTGGCAAGGTTGAGAAACATTGTTCCAAAACACCAATATGATTATTTAGGTTTTTAAGACTCTATTCGAAGGGGATTTCCCTATAAGGTACCGTCAGTCCAAGGCTGGTCATGGATCAAAAACATTTGTGTCATGATAAATGTGTTCTTTTTTATGGGAAGCAACTCCTCAGATCAGTGTTTCTTAATCGTGGCAACTTTAAGATGGGTGGACTTCAACTCCCAGAATTCTCCTTGTTCTGTTGGTCTGGAGTTAATGACTGAATGTTTCATTTAGCAACTGCAGAGATTCACTTAACAATCTGGCAAAAAAAGGTTGGCAAAATCAGGCATGTTTCATTTAATAGGCGCCTTGCTTAGCAATAGAAATTCTAGTCCAATTGTGGCCATAAATCTAAGACTACTTTTAATCGCAGCCAGTTGAGATTTAGTATGAAACATAAACCCAGTTTCTTTGTTGTTTGGCTGCCAAAAACTAAGTGCAGTGGACCACTGCCATTTTTTAGGTGGTTTCTCTTGAACTTGGATATGTAATCAGTATTTTGGGGTGACTTTTTCCCCTCCTGTTCCCTTACTATCTGTGCCTCTGTTCTGTTCAAGACTACCTGTATTTGGAAAGAATGTCTTCTATGAAGCAGACAAAAGAAATTTACATCTAGGCATGGCTAGAGTGATTGGGAGTCAGGCTGCATACAAATTTAATAAATTAATTGACAGTCCTTAATCATTAAATTTGGTGTAGTGGATAAGGCTGTGAGTTCTAGTCCTGCCTTAGCCATGAAAGCCAGCTGGGTGACTTTGGACCAATCACCAGGAGACTGTGAGTTTTAGTCCCGCCTTAGGCATGAAAGCTGGCGGGGTGACTTTGGGCCAATCACCGGGAGACTGTGAGTTTTAGTCCCGCCTTAGGCATGAAAGCTGGCGGGGTGACTTTGGGCCAGTCCCTTTCTCTTAGCCCAACCCACCTCACAGGGTTGTGGTGGTGAAAATAAGAGGAGGAAGGTGTGTTGGATATGTTCACCTTGAGTTATTTGTAAAAAATAATGAAGGCAGAATACCAGTAAATAAATAAATAATAAAAATATAAAATGCCTACTTTCTATTAGTGTTGTAAAAAAAAAAAGGGGGGGGGGATGCTGATACTATTGCTGATTGCCAAGTGGCATAAGACATTCAGGATTATTTTTGGATTCCCCCCCTCCCTCCCCAGGAAAAAACAAACAATCCAACAACAGAGATTGATCTGGTCTTTTTTTTCCCCTTTCGCTGCAGACCCAGCCATCATAGCTCCCCAAGACGCCACCCTCCACATTGGTGCTTCATTCATAGCCAACTGTTCCGTTACGCCCAATTCAGGCCTGAAGGCCGAGGACCTTTACTGGACCCTGAATGGCCGAAAGCTCCCAGCTGAGACCTACAAGGTCCTGGGGGCCACCACCCTGAGCGTCACCCTCTCCCAGATGAATGGATCGCGGCAGCAGTCAGGAGATAATCTGGTGTGCCACAGCAAGGAAGGCGGAAGCATCTTGGCTGGGTCGTGTCTCTATGTAGGACGTACGTTGGAGGCTTTATTGGGTGGATTTCCTACCCCACCCTCTATTCTCTGGGTCAGACCATATACAGGTAGTCCTCAACTTATGACCACAATCCCAAAGGTGCTTTTTCAAGGGGAAAAAAAACATCTTTGGGACAACCTTGACCTGACTGGCTGAGAATCTCTATCGACATTTATGACCACAATTGTGCCAAAACTTTCTGCTGCTAAGCGAGACAGTTGTTAAGTGAGTTTTGCCCCATCTTATAACCCAGGGGTCTTCAAACGTGGCCCTTTTATGACTTGTGGACTTCAACTCCCAGAATCCCTCAGCCAGCGTGCCTGGCGGTGGAATTCTGGGAGTTGAAGTCCACAAGTCATGAAAGGGCCAAGTTCGAAGACCCCTGTTATAACCTGTCTTGCCACAGTTGTTAAATGAATCTCTGCCGTTGTTAAGTTAGCAACATGGTTCTAAAGTGAATCGGGCTTCCTCATTGACCTCGCTTGTCAGAAGGTGGCAAAATGGGATCACGTGACCCCAGAACACTGCAACCGTCACAAATACGAGCCAGTTGCCGAGTGTCCAAATTCTGATCACGTGACCATAGGGGTGCTGCATCAATCGTAAATGTGAAAACTGGTCATAAGCCACTTTTTTTTAGTGCTGTTGAAACTTGGAATGGTTGTAAGTCGAGGACTACGTGTAGAAATGTCAAAGGGAGCTGCAATGAAAATAGACTGGAAAAAAAATCATAATTCACTTTTCCTTTAGATGGTGAGCTAAAGCCATGCTCTGTTGCGAGGCTTGTGGGTAATGGTTGGACCAGGTTTAAATTTGCTTTCTTTCTTTCTTTCTTTCTTTCTTTCTTTCTTTCTTTCTTTCTTTCTTTCTTTCTTTCTTTCTTTCTTTCTTTCTTTCTTTCTTTCTCTCTCTCTCTCTCTCTCTCTTCCTTCCTTCCTTCCTTCCTTCCTTCTTTTCTTTCTTTCTTTCCCTCTTTTCTTTCTTTCTTTCTTTCTTTCTTTTTTCTTTCTTTCTTTCTCTCTCTATTCCTCTCCTTCCTTCCTTCCTTCCTTCCTTTCCTTCTTTCTTTCTCTCTCTCTCTCTCTCTCTCTCTCTCTTTCTTTCTCTGAATGAATGAACAAACGAATGTGCCCAGATTTAAACTAGATTTATTTATTTATTTATTTATGAATGTGCCCAGATTTAAACTAGCTTGCTTGATTTATTGAATTATTCAATAATTCAATAATTCAATTATTCAATTACTGATTTATGAATGAATGATTGCACCCAACTCACTTTTACTAACCCTGGGGGCTTACAAAGATAAAAAAATCCAATAGTCACTCAAAACAAGCCATTTTCAGGGCTCCATCCCATTCTGGGCTCCTCAGCCCATTTAAACCTTTTGCATGTTTTTGTCTTTCCAGCTTTTTACTCTCTGAAACCTTTAAGCGACACAAGAAGGTTTCTGCTCTTGAATGTTGGCTCTTGAACAGAAAAAAAAACACGTGCGTTGAACCATGACAGATGTCTAAATCAATAATCTAAATTTTTATCATCACAGGCTATTTTTAAAGTTTTGGTTTCGGAAGGATGGAAACGTCAGCTGGGAACAGGCTTGTTGTTACGCCAAGGGCAGCTGCAGGCCATGGTTTAAAATTTCTCACCAGGGCCAAAAGAGAACAGCACTGCTGTTTAAAAAAGATGCCCTTTTGCTATTTCATAGCTATTGGCATTTTTGCTTCCCATCATGGGGACCAGAATTTCCATCGTTAGGGAAGGCGGTTGTTTAAGTGAGTTGTGCCCAATTCTATGAGCTTTTTTTGCTATGCTTGTTAATGAATCATTGCGGTTCTTAAGTGAAGATTGTTAAGCAAATCCAGCTTCTCCCAGCTTGTCAGAAGCTGGCTAGGAAGTAAACTAATGGAGATCACGACTCCATGATGCTGCAACCACCCATAATGGGAATTAATAATGCCAAGTGCCCAAATTTTGATCACATAACCGTGGAGATGCTTTGACGTTTGTAAGTCTGAGGACCACTTGTAAGTCACTTTTTTTCAGTGCCATCGTAACTTTGTTGCTAAATGAATGGTTGTAAGTCAAGGACTACCTGATTGTACCTGAGACCTATGGATTTATTTATATCTTTCAGTGCCTCCCGAAAAGCCAACCAACATTTCTTGCTGGTCCAAGAATTTGAAAGACCTCACCTGCAGATGGATACCTGGGTCGGAGGGCGAGACACACCTGCATACCAATTATACCCTGAAATATAAGCTGAGGTAGGCTGATGAGACGGGCATAGAAAGGTTTGTAAGTTGGTGATTTGCCCTTTAGAACAAAGAGACACAGAATGAGACGGACTTTTGTAATCTTGTTGAATTTCAGATAATTCTTACTGACCTGGTATTGGTCAGAATTGGATTGGGGTTCCCATGCTGGCTGGGGAATTCTGGGAGTTGAAGTCCATGCATCTTAAAGTTGCCAAGGTTGAGAAGCAGTGATTTAGACTAGAGGACTTTCGTTCTTCTTGGTGGCTAAAGTCTATCTATGCCAGGAGTCTTCAAACTTGGCCTTTTTATGACTTGTGGACTTCAACTCTCAGAATTCCTCAGCCAGGCACGCTGGCTGAGGAATTCTGGGAGTTGAAGTCCACAAGTCATAAAAGGGCCAAGTTTGAAGACCCCTGATCTATGCTATTACACTAAGATCTGCCTTTCAACTCTGTCCTCAGAGAAACATCAGCAGCCCTTCTCAGCTGTTGTTTGCCCCTAGGCATTGGGTACTCAAAGGTAGACTGCCTTTAAACATGGAGGGCCCTCTGTGTTGCTGTAATATCTTATGAAGTTCACTGAGGATTCTCCTATCTGCATATTCATCTTCTAGACCTGGATTTTTGTTTTTATAAGATAGACTGCTCTTCCCCCCCGCCCCCAGATTAGTTACAACTAGAGTGTTGGAGAGGTTGCCCATGGTAATATTCTGGGATAAAGAAAGTCAGTTTGGTACAGTGCTTAAGGTGCTGCCTAGAAACCAGGAGATTATGAGTTCTAGTTGCACCTGAGGCACAAAAGTTGGCTGGGTGACAATCACCAGAGACTGTGAGTTCTAGTCCCGCCTTAGGCATGAAAGTCAGCTTGGTGACCTTGATTCCAGCCTAACCCACATCACAGGGTTGTTGCCGTGGGGCAAATAGGAAGAGGAAGGAGTATTACGTATGTTTGCCACCTTAAGTTATTATAAAGTAATAAAAGTGGGATACAAATCTAATAAGTAAATAAGAACATTTATTTTTGCAGATGGTATGGCCGTGACAATATCTGCCAAGAGTATCACACTGCTGGCCCATATTCCTGCCACATCCCCAAGGACCTAGCCCTGTTCACACCTTACGAAATTTGGGTAGAAGCGTCCAATCGACTTGGGATGGCTGTGTCTGAGGTGGTGATGCTGGACATCGTGGATGTCGGTAAGAAGGTCCTGGCAGCTGGCCAATTAATTGTGATGACAATTGTTCACATTCGGTTGCCAAAGCTGTTTTAAGCTACCCATGGTCACCCTCCATAATGGCAATCTTTAGCATGGAATGTCACGTCCATCTGTCGTGACCTCACATGGGATATACTGGACACATTTGCAGAGGTAGGAGAAGTTCAGACATACCGAGAAACAGATCTGTGACATCTCAGGAAGGAAGCAGTGAGCAGGAAAGAGGTTGTATGGGAGTGGAATTGCTCCTAATCTAATTAGGATCTTTCTTCTTCTTCTTTTCTTTTTTTTTCTTTTTTTTCTTGTGCTGCATTTTGCTCCCTTCGAGACACACATTTGCTGTTTCTTAACTATTTCCCTTTCAACCTGCCCTCCCGAATATCTATGGAGATTCTCAGTCATTCAGGTCACGGTTGTCCCAAAAGTGCTTTTTCAAGAGGCAACTGGACTTTCTTTGTTTTTCTTTGAAGACGTTTTGCTTCTCATCCAAGAAGCTTCTTCAGCTCTGACTGGATGGTGGGGAACGGAAGGGCAGCACAAGAAGCAACGGGTGGAAACTAATCAAGGAGAGAAGCAATCTAGAACTAAGGAGAAACTTCCTGACAGTTAGAACAATTAACCAGTGGAACAACCTGCCTCCAGAAGCGGTGAATGCGCCAACACTGGAGGTTTTTAAGAAGAAACTGGACAGCCACTTGTCCGAAATGGTGTAGGGCAGTGGTGGCGAACCTATGGCACGGGTGCCAGAGGCGGCACTCAGAGCCCTCTCTGTGGGCACACATGCCGTCATCCCAGTCCTAGGCCTTCAGCTGGGTTTTATAAAACCTTTTCGCTTTAGGCCTCCGCCGCCATGTACAAAAAAAAGGTTCAATCAATCAGTCAATTTCAACTTCTCAGGGGAAAAAAAAGATCTTGCAAAGTTGGAACTGATTGATTGAACTTTTTAGTCCCACCCAGTCTGCCGTTACCACCCACCCAATGGCCCATGCCCAACCAATGGCCTATGCCCAACCAATGGACCACACCCACCCGGCGCCCGACGATGCATAAGTGGGTTTTGGGTTGCAGTTTGGGCACTCGGTCTCTAAAAGGTTCGCCATCACTGGTGTAGGGTTTCCTGCCTGAGCAGGGGGTTGGACTAGATGACCTCCAAGGTCCCTTCCAACTTTATTATTATTATTTATTATTAAAAACAAGAAAATCCAGTTGCCTCTTGAAAAAGCACCTTTGGGCCCACCCTCCAGAAGTTCAAATCTTGCTGGCACCAGACAGCCACTAATACAGGACGGGCTGAGATGGGACAGAACAATAATAGATGCATGTATTCCTCAGATTACAGCCATAAAATGTGCTGGTCATTAAGTGGGTCATCACATGACCGACCTGATTTTATAACATTTTTGTGGTGGCTATTAAATGAACTCATTGTTTACAATGGGCATTATTGGCCGCAGACTGGACATAGATGATGGTTTCTGGCAAAAAAAACATCATAAATCAAGATTATGTGATCACAGGGAGTTGCAAATGGCTGTGAAACTAGTTGCAGCCGGGCAAAGTCATGTGATCACGTGACTTTGGAGGTGGGCAGCTGGTGGAACTTTGAATCTGAGTTGTGGGTACCTTTTGGAGAGTCCATTGTAGCTTTAAACAGACACTAAACAACTGGTTATTAAACCAAGATTACCTGAACATAGATTCTGCATTGTTGATAGGAGGGTATTCCATCCACGTTGGGTGAGGAAGGCCGATTTATTTATTTTTGACTTTACATCTGTCAGGCACAAAGAATCAGGACCATACCTTAAGTTGCAATTCAGAACATTTATTGTTCAAGTGCCTACACAAGAATCTAGTTCAGGAAAGTTCAGTACTAAATCATTTGTGGGAACGTAATGATTCTAGGCTGATGACTTGTTTAACTCCACCCTGCCCCACTCTGCCTGCTCTTCTTATACAACATGCAATCAAACCTCTGTGCATGGATTAGAGCTTCAATTTCAACCCCATAAAATTGGGTTGCACCGGACAGGAACAAGGGGGAACAAAGAGCTGAAAGCACCACTGACATTAAGGAAGATGCTAAATTCATAGCGCTTTCAACCATTGCTGTTTCTTTACGGCAGAGGCCAGCGTGATGCAGTCACCCTGCAAGATTTGGACCGAATCCTTGCAGTGCCTCCTCCTAGTTGGCTTCTGTAAAATGATGCATCTGAGTCAGCTGAGGCACTTTCTGCAGGACCCACAATCATGAGAGGAGAGCGGTTGTCCTCTTTTAGGAGACATTGTTCTGGTTTTCCCTCTTTCTCTGGAGCAGCCATTCCCAGTGAGTCCTTTCAAAATGCAGGGCGTGGACTCCACTTTGCATACAGTGATGGCGAAACTTTTAGAGACTGAGTGCCCAAAAACCAGCCCCACCATCCCAGCCCGCCCCCACCACCTGCCCACCACCCACCGTCTCCACGGCGCGCCGCAGATCGCCCAGGCAGCCCAGCAGTGCCATGGCAGCCACGCCCTCCATCCATGCCCCCGCATCAACTGCGCGCGATGGGGCACGTGGGCGGAGTCTTGTCCCTGTTGCCTGGCTGCCATGTCCTTGGCTGCGCTGCTCCACGCAGGCCGTGCTTGGGGGTGACTCTCCTCCAGGGGGCTGCTGGTGAGGGGGCCGCAGGGGGAGGCGGGGCTGGGGCAGCAGCGTGTGTGCCCACAGAGAGGACTCTGAGTGATGGCTCTGGCATGCATGCCATAGGTTCACCACTGGCATAGATGGTTCCCAACTTCCCAGTGAAACATTCCGTGAGGAACAAGTGAACCCCTGCAAGTATCTGTAAAGGTGAGCGGTTGCTAAGCGCTCAAAATGTGATCACGTGACTGCAGGATATGTGTGGGGGTGGGTGGGTGGATGGGTCATAGATACAGACAGTCCTCAACATACGACTACAATTAAGCAATTTCTGTTGCTAATTGAGACAGTTAAGTGATTTTTGCCCCGTTTTACGACATTTCTGGCCACAGTTTTTAAGTGAATCACCACAGTTAAGTTAGTGGATCTGGCTTTCCCACTGACTTTGCTCGTCAGAAGGTCGTAAAAGGGGACCTCATGACATAGTTGTCAGGTGCCAAGTGTCTGAATTTTAATCATGTGACACATCAGGATGTGTGAAAAATGGTTATAAGCCACTTTTCTCAGTGCTGTTATAACTTCGAACAGTCACTAAATGAACTGTTGTAAGTCGAGGACTAGTTGTACATTTGGGTTACGTGACTGTTTTCTTATGTTTTTTTACTGATTTCTGGAGCTTAAGCTTGTTTGCAGCAGCAAACCCCCATCCCTCGTGCAGGGAACCATGACAGGAGATAACTAACATGGCTGAAAGATGCATTTTGCCGTGCTTGGCTCCAGTTCTTTTTAAGTCTTAATGTCAACGCTGCTAACATTGGATGTTTTTGCATTCACAACAGATGGAAATGGAGCCATCTTTTTCCTTTCGCTTTTAGAGTTAGATGATGCTGGGAGGGGGGATGTGAATGAGAGTCCAGTTAGACATAACAACACTAAACTTAGTGTGAGAATCAAGGTTATTGAGCCCAGAGCTGAAGAATTGGCAGTCTGGAGAGCTGGAGAGGGAGCCCTCGCTTCAAGCTAATTGGGGAATGTGATTTATGACTGTTAATTGGAGGAGGGAATTGTGCTTTGATACTATGTGCCCAGGGGAGGGGAATTCAGTTTTTGGCTTCGATTATGTAGTGCCAATATTATGCTACTCAAATAAAACATTCTTTAAGGTAAACAATGCCTCGAAGTTTTTTTGAAGAGTTTCATCTGTCGGAATCATGACACTTAATTTTGATTTTAAGTATTGACTTGTCCCCACTTGTCCCTGTTCGTTCGACAGTCACAACCGATCCACCTTCGGATGTCCACGTGAGCCGAGTGGGAGACCTGGAGGACCAACTCAGTGTGAGGTGGAGTGCGCCTCCTGCCCTGAAGGATTTTCTCTTCCAAGCCAAGTATCAGATCCAGTACCGAGTTGAGGACAGTTCAGAATGGAAGGTGAGTCTCCTGAAGAGGGTGGGAAATTTATTCTGCACCAGGACAATCATTAGTCCGAGTAATCAGGAACTGCAGCGTGGTGGGGGTGCATCCACAGGGACACATAATCCAAAATTGGGCACTTTGAGACTTACAGGTGATCACGTTAGTACAGGAACTCCTCCAATTATAGCCACAGGGAGGGGAGCCACCATGGAGAAGGCCCTTCTTCTTGGTCCCTCTAGATCAGTGATGGCGAACCTTTTAGAGACCAAGTGCCCAAAACTTGGCCCCGCTCCCGCTCCACCCCCTGCCCCGCCCCACCCCACCTGCCTGCAGGGCCACTCACCGCCTCCAGGGCCCCCCGCAGATCACCCAGGCAGCCCAGCAGCGCCATGGCAGCCATGCCCTCTCCCCGCGCCTTGCAGCATCAACTGTGCGCGATGGGGCGTGAGGGCAGAGTCTTGTCTACACTGCCTGGCTGCCATGTCCTTGGCTGCGCTGCTCTGGGACAAACTTGGGGGTGACTCTCCTCTAGGGGGGCTGCTGGTGAGGGGGTCGGGGGAGGCAAGGCTGGGGCAATGGCACGTGTGCCCACAGAGAGTGCTCCGAGTGTTGCCTCTGGCACCAGTGCCATAGGTTCACCACCACTGCTCTAGATGGACCTCCTTAAGAGAAGGGACCCAAATTCCTTAAATCACAGCAAAAAAACAGGAATTAGATTTGGGAGATAAGGCACTTGATAGAGTGTCTGGGGGTAGGTATCAAAAAAATAAAGATGAAAAATGACTGATTGAGGTCCCATCTCTTTTTTACACGTGTCAGAAGTTGTAAGTCACCTTTGTGAATAAAATCTGCCTGTCCAATATAGTCTTCCTTGCTTTAAATTCCCATCCTGTAAAGGAACTGATTGCTTGTTTCTATTTTTAAAATATTGGTAAAACAATTTTGTTTTATTAGAGATTGGAAAAATAACGACTGTTAAAAGAGCCAGGTTTGGGTTATTGATCTGGGGTTTTTTTACACAAGTATTTATTTTTTGGCACTTAGGACATGCATTTACTGATTACAGTATATTATTTATCTTGTTTTGTACTGTCAATTGTCCAAATTCTTGAGCTAGGATACAAATGTAATAAACAAATAGTCAGAAAAAAATAAAATAAAAGCACATTACGGAAAGAGAGCTAATTGGAAACATACAATGGAAACAATTACAAGAAAAATGTAGAACTGGGATTAATGCATAAACTGCTTTTGAAAACAGTAAACTGTTTTACAATAAAAAAAGCTCCAGTTAGAGTGGATAAAGTCATATATTGGCGTCTAATCTTCCACCAGACCTTTCGTTAAAGTTTCTATGTTTCCCAGCTGTATAGCAATTTGGCCTAAAGATTAAGGAAAAGGGGAGGGGGTCTGGAAAGGAAAATTATTGCCAATCCTGAACAGATGTGACAAATTCACTTGCACTCAGATTAAAATTGAGGAAGGGTATCCCAAAGTCTGTGAAAATTGAGAAGATAACAAGGAGAGGGGAATTTCTGGGGAAATGTCAGCCTCACAAGGGAATAAACAAAAATAAAATTTAGTTTTGTAAAAAAAAAAAGTATAAAAAACAGAACTTTTAAAAATTGTTTATGAGCCAAACATGCTGCCCCAAGGGAATAATTAGAAGAAGAAAAAAAGGTCTGGGATCTGCTTCAAAACTGGAAGGAGAAAGACATTAAAAGCGAAAAAGATTTTCAGCCAAACAAATCGCAATACTGTAGCCATGAGGGATCAAAAATTCTTCAAAAGGTTTTCTAACCTCTAAAAAGTCAGAGTGGGCTCTGAAATTTAGATCAAATCCCCATCAAATTCAGTAACCACTTTAAAATTGTATGCCTTTTGGTAAATTACTTTTAGGGGCAATAAGTAAGCATTGGAAACCAGTTTTCCATCGTTTTTAAAAACTGGCATTTTTCAAGTCCCAGAATATACTGTACATTAGGTCAAGCCAAGTAGACTAAGTGTATTCTTTCCATTAAATCATAATCCTGGTAATCCTTGATTTATGACCAAAAGTGAGCCCACAATTATAGTTGTAAGTCAATTTTACGATAATTTTTGCTGCAGTTTTTAAGTGGTCATTAAGTGAACCAATAGTTCATTATGGACTACTTGTACCAAAATCTGGAAGGAAATGCCAGTTTTTGACAAAAACACTGTAAATCATGGTAACATGATTGCAGATCAGTGCAAATGGCCATGAATGCAAGTATCCAAAATGCAGTCACGTGACCACTGAAGGGGACCTGGATATTGGAACTTCAAATCTGGGTCATAAGTAGTTTTTCCAGGATCTGTGGTAACTTCAAACAGTTGCTAAGCAACTGGTTGTAACTTGAGGCCTACCTGTGTTTGACTTGGGCTTAGCATATTGTACTCTTGTGGAAAACTCTCCATTGTGGTTTGTCAAAGCTGGCTAAAACAAACCCTGTCTTAGTGCAGTTTTTCTCAACCTTGGCAGTTTTAAGATGTGTGGTCCTCAACTCCCAGAATTCTCAGTCAGCCATGCTAAGCTGGGGAATTCTGGGAGTTGAAGTCCACACGTTTTAAAGTTGACAAGGTAGAGAAACACTGCAAAATCTCTCTTAGTTGTGTTCTTTGTATTCTTTCTTTCATCTTTTATATTTCTTCCATCCCTTTTTATAGCTGGACTCTTTATGGTTTTTAGTTATGTCCATATTGATGTCTATCCTCCAGAAAAACAGGCCCCCTTTGCAAACCAAGTTGTGACGGATTTCCCCTGATATAAGTTTTCCGCTCCCTTTGGATCCAATGCACCTTATATGCAAAAAGATTAAGAATCATAAAAGTCGTTTGGTGTGTAGAAGCCCTAAACCAGTGGTGGCGAACCTATGGCACGGGTGCCAGAGGCGGCACTCAGAGCCCTCTCTGTGGGCACGCATGCCGTCGCCCCAAGTCCTAGGTCCCTTCAGCTGGGTTTTATAAAACCTTTTCGCTTTAGGCCTCCGCTGCTGTGTGCAAAAAAAAAAAAAAAGGTTCAATCAATCAGTCAATTTCAATTTCTCGCGGGGAAAAAAAAGATCTTGCAGAGTTGGAATTGATTGATTGAACTTTTTAGTCCCACCCAGTCTGCTGTTAGCACCGCAGCCACGCCCACCCAATGGGCCACACACCCCAAATTGGCCACACCCAGCCAATGGGCCACACCCACCCGGCACCCGACAATGCATAAGTGGGTTTTGGGTTGCAGTTTGGGCACTCGATCTCTAAAAGGTTCGCCATCACTGCCCTAAACTCTCAAAACGTCTGGTACAACCTTTTAAACATCTGAGTGTCTATATTTATATTATGGTCCTGGTATGAGAGACCATGCTCTCTTCTGCCTCAGTGAAAGTTTCCCATTTATAATTTAATGAATCAATCACTTATACAATAAAAGTATCAAAATATTCAAGGAAAGATAAGAAAAAACAAGATATTTTCTAAAGGGAAAATATTTTCTTAAAATAAGAAATAATTAAGAAAGAGGAAAGAAACAGAAAAAAGTAGTAAAATATTAGGACTTCCACCCTCATTTTTATCCAGTAACTATCTTATTGTTTCCTCTTTTTCCCCCCTCTCTTACGTTGTACTTCCCTTTCCCTTTTAACACTTTTGTAGCCCCCCAAATCCATAAATCATCAATTCAGCCTTTTCTCCTTTTAACAAAAAATACATAGAAGGTTTCTAGTCTTTTTTTTTAAGCCTTTATCATTTTTTCCCCCTAACCTTGAGAATTTTCCACATCTATACAATTACATCCAAAGTTTGCATTTTGGTGGATGGAAGAACCAGGTCTCTCTTGAAAACTAAATCTCCCTTTCTCTTGATAGGTTGTCGACAATGTTAGCAACCAGACTTCGTGTCGGCTGGCAGGCTTAAGACCCGGGACGGTGTATTTTGTCCAGGTCCGCTGCAATCCGGTCGGTATCTATGGCTCAAAGAAAGCCGGCATTTGGAGTGATTGGAGCAACCCAACAGCAGCCTCCACACCTCGGAATGGTGAGTAGGAGCTATTTTCCATCCTTACCTTTGGCAAGGGGGCTGGGGTTTTCTAAGCAGCCTAGATTTACAGGGGTAGGCAACCTTGGCTCTTTTATGACTCGTGGATTTCAACTCCCAGAATTCCTGAGCCAGCCATGCTGAGGGGAAAGGGAGAGGTTTCCAAGCTGAGCCATGCTGGCTCAGGAATTCTGGGAGTTGAAGTCCACGAGTCATAAAAGAGCCAAGGTTGCCTACCCCTGGCCTAGAACTAAGAAGAGATTTCCTGACAGGAACAATTAATCAGTGGAATGAATGGCTTGCTTTCAGAAGTTGTGGGTGCTCCATCACTGGAGGTTTTTAAGAAGAGATTGGGCAGCCATTTGTCTGAAATGATATAGGGGCTCCTACTTATTTATTTATTTATTTATTTATTTATCACAACTTATATGCCGCCCTTCTCCCCATGGGACTCAGGGCGGCTCACAGCATGTTAAAACAGTATAAAACATTTCCCCTCTAAAAGCCAATTAAAAACCAAATATTTGTCGCTGTGTCTTGTTAAAATCCTTAAAATTGTCCCTATTTAAAATTCACCCTAGGTCAGACC